TCATTCCCTTCCTTCTGTACCCACAACTTCATGGGTTGTTCTTTTTTCTACCTAAGTTGCTTATGCATCTCATTTGGGGTTAATTACACATAATTACATTTTTTTTAATTTCTTTTTTCCTCTCCCAGATTCTCAAAATTGTCCCAAGTATTTTTGGGGATAAAAAAATGATTAGTCCTTTTCTACTGGTGCCCCTCAGTCCTGGGAGCTTGAGTACAATGAAGTCACTTTGTTGTAAGGATTAACTTTATATTACATTCTTGCAGAGTAGATGCATGTCCCTAAGGTACAACTACCCCCACCAACGAAATAAATATACCATTCTTTATGGTTCCTCCCCATTACCCACTCTGTTGATTTTCAGAGAGTTTATGAATAGTCATATATTTATACAACTGGCCGAAAGTATACTACTTATTTTTCTTATGGTCTCTAATAACCTATGCAAGGTTATTAAAGGGTAAACAGACCCCTTTTAAGGCATAGTTTCTTATGTCATTACTTTATACAAGCAGGTCAAATTCCATCTCGGCAACAATCTCTTGCTCTTAACCTTTTTCTCTGATTATAAAAGTAATATATGTTCGTTGTGGAAAATTTGGAGAATGTACAGTGCAAAGAGGAGGAAGAAAAGCACTACTGTGGTGCTGCAGGTTAATGCGCTGGACTGAAATGTCAGTTTGAAATGCAAGGTCGGCTGTTCCAGCTTACCAGGTGCCCCTTAGAAAACCTATACAGGATCGCTATGGGTTGTAACTGATTCAATGGCACTTAAAAACAACTTAGAAATAACCACTGTCAGGCAATTTATATACAGGTATATTTTCTTTGTTCTATGTGTGTTCGTTGTATAAATATATATGCATGTTGCTTTTGCTAGGTGGCATCAAGTTGGTTCCAATTTGTAGAAACACTGGGTATTAACAGAAGAAAATATTGCCCGATCCTGCGCCCTTCTTACAGACATTATTTTAAGCCCACTGTTTTAGCCACCACATCATTCCATCTCATTGAGGGTCTTCCTCTATTTTACTTACATTATACCTTTACCAAACATGATGTCCTTTTCCAGGGATTGACCAAAATAAGTGACACTAAGTCACCATCCTCGCTTCTAAGGAACATTCTGGCTACTTCTTCCAAGACGGCTTTCTTTGTTCTTCTGGCAGTTCATAGAACTTTCAATATTCTTCACCAATACCAGTATTCAAAGTCTTCAATAATTCTTTGGTCTTCTTTATTCATTGTTTAGTTTTCACATGCATATGAAGTGACTGAAAATACCATGGCTTAGATCAGGTGTACCTCAGCCCTCAAAGTGTGCCGTCTTTTCTTTTTAACAATTTGATGGGATCTTTTGCAGTAGATTTGTCCAATACATACATTGTTTGATTTTCTGACCACTGCTTTCATGGACATTGATCTAAAATTAAGTGAAATTCTTGAAAATATCAATATTTTCTCCATTTTTCGTTATGTTGCTTATTGGTCCAGTTTAAAAAATATTCATTTCTCTAGTTTGCTTTCTTCACTAGCAATGCCTTGTGTATCAATTCAAAATTTTTTCTTAAACGGCATTGATTTTGAGACTTGCATCATATTCTGTTCCATCGTTGTTGTTGTTAAGTACCGTGGAGTCGGTTCCGACTCATAGTGACCTTGCACAGGGTTTCCAAGGCTGTAAATCTTTACGGGAGCAGAAAGCCTCATTTTTCTCCTGGGGAACCTCTGCTAGTTTCGAACTGCTGATGTTGAGGTTCGCAGCCTGACTCATAACCAGTATGCTGCCAGAGCTCCTTTCTATCACTAGGTTCTATATCATCGGTTGGTTGGACGGTTAAGTGCCGTGGAGTTGTTCCGACTCATAGCGACCCTGTACAGGGTTTCTGAGGCTGTAAATCTTTACGGGAGCAGAAAGCCTCATTTTTCTCCTACCAAGCAGCTGGTAGTTTCGAACTACTGACCTTGTGGTTCACAGCCCAATTTGCAACCACTATGCTGCCAGAGCTCCTTAGGTTCTGTTCCCTAGGTGTGCATTAATTTTAATCTCCTACCCATTTAAGTTGTCTTTAGAGATTTCAGGTATTTAAATTTTTTTTTTAATTCACAATCTTTAAAAGATGGGTCCTCCCATTCAGAATTTGACTACCTTTTTTCTCCCATCAATGCAATCAGAGAAATCATCAGGCTCCTTTGAACTGAATGAAAGACAGTGTGGCCTTTGCCTGATATATCCTTAGCATTACCTTTGTGCAGTGAGTCGATAATTTAATGGTAACTCTTGGTACCTAAGTTGAGGGCATGTTAACATATTTGAAAACATGAGCACAGAGCAAAATATAAAGGCTCTGTGAAATATTTTCTCTCTCACGTAGTACACTTCCCTAGAGTTGTTGTTGTTATTGTTGCATGCCATCAAGTCGGTTCTGACTCATAATGTAGATGCTTAATTTTCTTTTACTAACAAGTTGAATATGTCTAATTCGATTACTCTTTGTGTGACTTCTCTCCGAACAACTTCTCTCTGAAGGTTCTTTAGCTTTCCCAGCTATGAGTTCCATATGATTTTTTGAATTTATTTTTTAAATTGCTGACATTAAGTCTCAGTTATTCTGCTGTATGTTGGTGACATATGCAGTGAATCACATTCTATCCTGCCCAATATATTAGACAATCATTCTGTTAACAACCACATATTTCTTGATACAGTAGGGATTTATTATGCAAATGATTAAAAGGGTGGGCCAACAATCCAAATTTTATTGGTGATTTAAACTGAAAAATAAAGCCCAAGAATTAGAATTTTCAGAATGTCTTCAGATATTAAAATGATGCACTTAATTATCAAAAGCTATTTATGGTTACACATTTTTGTTGGCAATTAGTATTACGAGTGGGAAGGGAATATGATGAATAGCTTAAAGCTGGGTGCTCATTCTAGTCACTTCCATGCATTTCTTGATTAAATATCCTGGATTTTATGAGTAACAGCTTCCTTGCATAAAGAGTTATATGGCTTTTCTCTACAAGTCTAATTTGAAAAAAAAAAAAGAATTCTTCTCAAGGGTTTAGAAAGTAATTCATAAAATGGAAGAAATAATAAATATTATGCTTTAACTCATCTACTAGTATGGATAGAGAGATTCAGTACACCTGGGTGTAATTTTAGTTAATTTCCACAAGAGACAGGTTGAAAGTTTACTGTTTGAGGGAGAGGTGGCTGCATCTCATATTTGCAAAAATGATTACATTATCTTAAATGAAAATGCTACTCTATTAACAGCTGTAATAAGCATTGCATTTGGGAAAAATCTTTTTAATATAAAGTTACCTGAAGTTCACTCTAACTTAAAATATACAAGTGAAGAAAAGTACTTACTCTGTGTCTTTTGGAGGTATAATTATGTAAAACAATGTACTTTTGTAAATGGATTTCTGGCCACTTTATGCAGGTTTTTTTTTTTTTTTTTTTCCTTCTTCCTTTTTTTTCTTTTTTTCCTTACATAAAAAGTAAGCACTGTCAATCAAGGAATTTTAAGGTTTATTTCCTCTTTAGAAATGATTGATAGCCTTTTAGATTTACAAGTTGACAAGTTAAAGGGTTCTATTGGTATAATTATGTACTAAATTCACAGTCTTTCCATTTAAATGTCCTTTTAAAACCACAAGATTATCATACCTGTATTTTGAAAAGTGGGCCAGTCAGTTTGGGTTGGTATACAAATTGCTTCCATTAGCCTTGGGACCTATTTGAATTTAATACAGTTTTTTAAAGTTAGTAACAGGATGAATCTTACTTTTAAAATTTAGGTTAATGGAAATGCATTTTAAGTAAAGCACGTGGCAACTTGTTTTCTAATGTATAGATAAATGTCAGAATTACAAAGACTGTCTTTTTATTCAGTATGGGAGAAAATATGTGGTTGATTACTGGTTACACTAAAAAAAAAAAAAAGAAAAGAAAAGTATGAAAATTTGAAAAACAAAAAAATCACCTACCCACTACTGAGAGAATGGTGGGGAATAAGGAGGGCAGAAGAGGGCTCTTCCAGTTTTTTGAGTTAGGTGAGACATTTCATGACCCAGGGAGAAAATCAGACAATAATAGACCAGAGTCCATTTCTGTTGTGTTTAATTGAAGGATGTGTTGAAGAAAGGGTGGTCGACATGTGGCCATTGTCTCCAAATAACTGTTCTTCTCTTAGTCTTTTTGAGAAACACTTTTAGTAACTCAGCTGCTCTAAACTAGTAGCTTGCAGAGGTTGGTCTTTTCCTTGAAATAATATTGATGTTGGTGAATATTAGTCATTTCAGTTATGAAGGTTTTACATTGAGGGTGTTTTTAACACCTAGCTCTTTGCAGACTATCAAGGACGGAATAGGCTTTCCGCATTGTAAGACCCATGCCAGCTTGTACTCCTCTGCCCCAGTAAACAAAGCAAGCCTGGGTTTACTTGAGTTGTCCCCTACAGATTAGTAAGTAAGCACAAGTATACCCACATTTACCTTGCTCTTGAGTAATCCACCTGCCTCTCACCATATTTTTTCAGACTTCATTACCACAGAAGCACTGCAGTATTGAATCATGAGTTCCACTAGAGATTTTGCAGTTAAATAAATACTTTTGATTAGCCTGCTGTTTACAGGAGAAGCCTTTGAGTATATTGACTTGAGTTTCTAGTTAAAATGAATCCTAAGACCCTCTCACCCCCTATGAAATTCCAATTTACTTTGTAATAATGTAAGGAATATGGGATTTGGCCAGAAAGACCATTTCTTGCTATTGATGTTCTTTGGGGCAAGTCACTTACCACCTTGGTAAATAGCAGAGTAGGTGTGTTCAAAATGCTTAGTAAAGGGTTCATTCTTGTGAATATTTTATAATATAATTCAAAAGTATTAATTAAACTGTCTTCAGTTATTTTTACACCTTCACGTTACATATCATGTTCAGCATTGTTTCTTTAAAATGTCCTAATTGTTTGACTTCTTCATTGCAGCGCTTAATGAACCCACCATTGATTATGGCTTCCAGAGATTACAGAAGGTCATTCCCCGGCACCCTGGTGACCCTGAGCGTTTGCCAAAGGTCAGAATACTTCCTATTTCCACTGTTTTCTGGAATTGTGGGATTCGGTGATTGCAGGAACTTTAACAGTTAATAGATTGTGTGCCATCGAGTCAGTAGCAATCTCACATAGGGTTTCCAAGGCTGTAAATATTTATGGGAGTAGAAAGCCTCATCTTTCTCCCATGGAGTGACTAGTGGGCTGAAACTGCTTTCCTTGTGGTTAGCAGCCCAACAAATAACCCACTATGCCAACAGGGCTCCTTAGTTGATAGATAAGCAACTCATATTTTTGTGCTTTGTTTGATACTGTAAGGTAAGCAGTCATAAAAGGAACAAACACGTAGGTGCTAGCCAGTGTTACACTTCTTTTCACATGTGTCATTCTTACAGCCTCTTAATCCTCTGAGGTTCTACTATTATTACCTCTACTAGCATTTATAGAAGAAAGTGAGCAGAAAGAGATTAAATAATTTGCCCAAGGTTACACAGCATGTAAATTGCTAGACTGAGATTCAAACCTATATATATATAATGGAGCTCTGGTAGCGTAGTGGTTACGAATTGGGCTGTGAACTGCAAGGTCAGCAGTTCAAAACTACCAGATGTTCTGCAGGAGAAAGATGAGGCTTTCTGCTCCCGTAAAGATTTACAGCCTCGGAAACCCTGTACAAGGTCGCTGTGAGTCGGAACTGACTCCACGGCACATAACAATAACAATAAAATTAATATATACACACACACATATATATATGTGTGTGTGTGTTTATGTATATATATGTATATATGTGTGTGTATATATATATATATGTATATACTGACTTGAGTCTGGGTTATTCATTGCTGCGTTATACTAATTTTCAAGACAGAAGAGCATCACACATCTACCCATATCAGGATCTATCCTCATCTCTGGTGATGGGAAAAGCCAGAGTTCAAAAGAAAAACACTGGTAGATCTTTCAACTAGGAATATAAGGCTGAGCCGTTCTTCCACACATGATCCACTGAGTTGGGAAATTATGTAAAATAGGAGCAAAATTAAACAAAAATTCAAGGCAGCAAGTATATATATATATATGTAAGTATATATTTTATACATCTATATATGTAAGTATATATTTTATACACATATATGTATGAAATTCATATATATGAAATGTAACAGTATGCTGTTAATTGCCAGTGCAGAATGAAGGAAATTAACTCTTTTGATATCTATTCTGTGCCTGTTGTCAAGTTGGAAATAAATATTGCCATCTCTGTATCTAAGTCACTTGGACCCTGTGGAGGAGAGAACATCCTACAGCTAATCATGACAGACAATAATAGGCCCATTTAGCAAAAGTGCAACCAAAGGTCTGCAAAGACTCAGAGGAGAGAGTGTCGTTTGATGCTAAGGACATTCAAAGTACAGAGTTAGTTGAGGACACTGAGGCAAGTTAAAACTATTGTTCTCTGACAGCTAAGTGAAAATTCATTTACTGTGCCGGGAAAACTATAATAAATTAGACAAGTAGTGGAGAGGACCATTTTCTGCCACAGTAAGTCTAGAGACATGTCATTTCTAGGTCTCTTTATCCTCATGAAACACTTATGAAATGGAGTTAGCATCCTTCCTAGCCCAGTGAACCTTGGTTAAAAACTTCCTGAAAAGCATTTCACCTAAAGAAGAAATCACATCATATCTCAATGTGCTCACATTAGTGTCTTTGAAAGGGCTTCCCGCTTAGAGGCCCCTCTTCCTCCTCCACCCTGATGATTCTTCTTGTTAAGTACTGCTGAGCTGGTTCTGACTCACAGCGACCCTGTATAGGGATTCAGAGGAATGGCCAGTAGATTTGAACCATCGACCTTGCAGTTCAAATCTACCTTACAGTTCAGTGCTTTATCCTATAGCGCCACACCAGGATTCTGAGTTATTCTTTATGGGTGAGCAATTAAATAATATAATTATATAATGAAAGGCAGTCTCCTTAGATAACACAGCCATGGTGTGGAGAGATCTACCTATATTTATGTTTAGTAAGAACTTAGGCTCCCTGGCGTCACTGTAAGATAAGCACTGGACTGATAATCTCAAGGTTAGCAGTTCAAACCCACCAGTCACTCTGTGGAGAAAGATGATACTTTCTGCTCTTGTAAGAATTTGCAGCCTCAGAAACCTGATACAGAGCTGCTGGGAGTCAGAATCAACTCCATGGCAGTGCGTTTTTAGAGTAAGACCCTAAGGAGGTATGGTGGTGCAGTAGTTAAAGCAAATGAAAAGGTTGGCCATTGGAGCCCACCAACTGTTCTGTGAGAGAAGTATGTGACAGTCCACTCCCATAAAGATTTACAGCCTTCCAAACCCTATGGGACAGTTCTGCTCTGTCCTATAGGATCACAGTGAGTTGGAAATGATTCTGTGGCAACGGATTTAATGAGAGCCTGAAGTCTCTGGGAGGTGCAAATGGTTAACATGGTTGGTTGCTAATTGAAAGGTTGAAGGTTCAAGTCTACCCAAAGGCACCCTAGAATAAAGACCCAATGTTCTACTTCCAAAAAGTCAATCATTGGAATCCCTACAAAGCACATTTCTACTTTGACACACATGGTGTCACCATGAGTATAATCAGTGCCCTGACAACTGTTTAGTTAGTTATATACTGAGAGCCTAGTACACAGAGTTCCAATGGGACAAAGTCCCAAAGAAAACCATTTATTTTCTAGCACCATAAAATAAATGGTTTTGTGTCTACCCAAGGGTGGGCACCTTAGGTGTCTCAGTGGTAGGATGAAGGCATAGGCTTAGTGCTGGATTCATCCCAATGTTTTATCTTGGCACCATCCTTACTTCACATTTAGCATTTGATGCCTCTAGAGTTTGCCAAAGGGCTTGAGGGCACAGGCTGGAGAGTTGGGTTAGACAAGGTTGGAACTCAGAGCTCTGCCTCTTACTAGCGATGCAAGCTCCGTCAAAGTTCTTTCTCTCTCTGCCCTTTAATTTTCTTCTTGGTCAGATGGGGATGGGCTCATTCCTACTTTGTCAAGTTGTTATTTTTGTCGATTATTTATTACTCAACAAAAGGTAGTTGTGATTATTGGCCAATTGAAAAAGATGAGACCCTCATTTCTAACAATTCTTCTATCCAATCCCTGCCAAGAAAATATTAAACCTCTTGTCCTTAACAAAAACAACATAGTAATGCCTACCTCATAGGGATCATGTAAGAATAAAAAGAGGCAGCCCCCGTGTGCCCTTGGCACAATATTTATCCCATAACTGCTGTCTTTAATTTTTATTGAAAAATAGAAGACAACCTAGTTTGTTGGCTGTGATCTAAAGAAGCCAGACAGTACTTTTCTTCTTCATAAAGGAAGGAAAGACATAGAATACAGGGCTGAGTGTTGTGTATTTACATTTTAAGGTTGCATGTCATGTTCAGAAATGTTGGACAAATAGCAACGACATGTGTCACTATGTCCCTGGTGGCTTGGTGGTGAAATTCCCAGCCCCTTTCCCTGGGTTTGGGAAGAGTAATCAAGGACACAATGGATTTGTGTGCTAAGGAAACACTGCACAGCCTGCATGGAGCTGCTCCACCATGCAAGGACTTTGCTGGGAGCCCTCCCCAGGAAGCCCTAGTGTGACTCAGCTCAGAATGCTTGTCTTATTGGCTCTGAATGTTAAGTTGGAGCAAGAGTTCAAGGGCAAGGTCAGGAAGTAGCGGATGGAGCCAACACCAGGTATTCCTGTGGACTTGAGAGATTTATACTCCTGCTGTCCATTGTTAGGGGGACAAAACAGGGCTCCGCCTGTCTTAGAATCATGGTCCGTGTTTGACAAACAGTAGTGTTTCAGTGAGCCACGGACCACACACCTCAAAAAACAAACTCCACTTTATTAAATCCATGTGTTTGTGAGTAGACAAAACTAAATTCATATAACCACCCACATATTCTGTCAAATGAAACTGTTCCAAAGACAGAGCAGACAGCTCTCCATAATACTGTGCCTTTGTGTACTGCCTTATCCTTTCTCTGAGAACTTGTCCATGCTTTGTTTTACTGGATCCCCTCTGATTTCCCCCCAGCTTTTTATTGTGATTTGAGTGAAGGTTTACTGAGCAGCATATCATCAATTTTACATTCAACAAATCCTACTTTGTTTCATGACATGATTACAATCCCCTCCATGTACCAACAGCTAACCACATTTACCTTTGTCCACTTTATCCATTTCCTTCCTCTATGTGCCTTCTGTTACCTTCACCTTTCCTCTCCTAACCTCCCTCTTATTGCATATTGCCTGCCCTGTGGCCCAAGTTAAGGTGTGTCTACCCTCTAACTCGTGAATAATTTGCCCTCCCCTAACCCTGTAACTGTCACAGATTGTTTATATATATATATAAACTCTTTTTTTTCCAACTTTCTACAACATTGTTGTCATACAATATTTGTCCTTTTGTGATTGACTAATTTCACTCAGCATAATGTCTTTCAGGTTCAACCATGTTGTGAGGTGTTTCACAAATTCATCATTATTCTTCAGTGTTTTGTAGTAACAGCAACATTGTGTGTATGCACCAAAGTTTGTTTAACCATTCTTCTGTTGATGAGTATTTAGGTTGTCTCCATCTTTTTGTTATATCTCTCACAGACAGCATATTGAAGGGTCTTGTTTTCTTATGCTGGATTCCTGCTTGCAACATATGCAGAGAAAACAGACAGCTTGGCCATTTACTAAGTGGGAGAACGGGAGCAAGCAGAATCCTTCTCTGGACACTGAGAGTCACCATCAGGGATAGTTGCACAGTACTACAGTTAGGCGGGGCCCAAATTTTGTTTGTTTCCTTTTTCATATACACATGGAGAAGGGCAAGCCAAGGTTCTAAAATTGCAACATTCTGTTCTGTTTTATACAGACTTGCCTTCCTCTCAGGATTCTGGCAGGAGGGGACAGGGGCATGTGATCAACTTTGGGGTGAAGGTTGACTTTTCTTATAACATAGATGTTTGGTGGGATAAGGGGAAGGACTG